TTTTTTGGAGTTTTCATTTTAATTCCTGTTAGTTACCATACAGTGTTATATCAGTTTCAAGTGTACAATATAGGTATTCAACACTTCATACATCACTCTGTGCTCATCACAAGTGCACTCCTTAATCCCCCTCATCTATTTCACCCATACCCCTCCCCCCTTCCCCTCTGGTAGCCATCAGTTTGTTCTCTACAGTTAAGAGTCTGTTTCTTGGTTTGTGTCTCTCTCTTCCTCACTCTAATTTTTTCCCTTTGCTTGTTTGTTTTGGTTCTTCAGTTCTACATATGAGTGAAAAAACATACATTTGTCTTTCTCTGACTAGCTTATTTCTCTTAGCATTACACTCTCTAGCTCTATTCATGTCATTGAAAATGGCAAGATTTCATTCTTTTTTTATAGCCGAATATATGCCACAACCTCTTTATTCACTCATCAGTTGGTGGACACTGGGCTGCTACTATAATTTGACTATTATGAATAATTTTATGAATGTAGGGATGCATGTATCTTTTTGAATTTTTGTTCTTTTATTCTCTGGGTAATTTCCCAGTATTGTGATTACTAGATCATAAGGTAGTTTTATTTTCACCTTTTGAGGAAAAGTTTTAACTTTTGAGGAACCTCTATACTGTTTTCCACAGTGGCTACACCAGTTAGCTTTCTCACAAACACGGCAAGAGGGTTCCTTTTTCTCCACATCTTCCCCAACACTTTGACAGGTGTGGGATGATATCTCATTGTGGTTTTGATTTGCATTTCCCTGATGATGAGTGATGTTGAACATCTTTTCATGTATCTGGCCATCTGTATGTCCTCTTTGGAGAAATGTCTGTTCTTGTCTTTGCCCATATTTAGTTGGATTATTTGTTTTTTGGGTGTTCAGTTTTATAAGTTTGGATTGAATATTCTAAATATATCTGTTAGGTCCATCTGGTCTAATGTGTCATTGAAAGCCACTGTTTCCTCTTTGATTTTATGTCTGGATAGTTTATTTTGTCTATTTTTAAAATTGGTTTTTTTTCTTGTTAAATTATAAGAGTTATTGTATAATTTTAGATACAAAATTTTATCAGATATATGTTTTATAAATACTTTCTCCCATCTGTGGTTAATCTTTTTCATTTTCTTAACACTGTTATTTCCAAAGCAGATGTTTTAAATTTTAATAAAGTTCAACTTGTAATCTTTTTTCTTTCATAGATCAGCTTTTGGTATTCTAAGAACTATCACCAAAAGAAGGTAACCTAAATTTTCTTTAATGTTTTCTTCTACAAGTTTTGTGGTTTTGAATTTATATTTAGGTTAATGATCCATTTTGAGCTAATTTCTGTAAAATATTAGTTCTCTGTCTAGGTTCAGTTTTTGCATAGATATGTTCGATTTGTTGAAGGTACAGATTTTTCCCATTGAATTGCTTTTGCTTTTTTGTCAAAGATCAGCTGACTACATGTGTATTTTTGGCCTCAATCCTGTTCCATTGATTTATGTGTTTAATCTTTTAACAAAACTATGCTGTATAATTGTGATAGCTTTATATAATCTTGAAATTAGATAGTACGAATACTCTAATTTTCTTCTTTGGTATTTTCCTATTCTAATTCAACTGCCTATCCATATAAACTTTAGAATCAGTTTATTGACATCTTAAAAATACCTTGCTGATATTTTGATTGAGATTTGATTGAGATTGAATCTATACAGCAAGTTGGGAAGAACTGATAACAATATTGAGTACTCCAATCCTTAATTACAGACGATGTCTCCACTTATTTAGATATTCTATGATTTCTTTCACCAGTTTTTTCCTAGTTTTTGCCATATAGATCTTATCCACATATTTTTAGATTTATATCTTTATTTCATTTTTTTGCCATTTTATTTTTTTTATTTTTTTTCTCCTTTTTTTTTTTTTTTTATGAAATTTATTGTCAAATTGGTTTCCATACAACACCCAGTGCTCATCCCAAAAGGTGCCCTCCTCAATACCCATCACCCACGCTCTCCTCCCTCCCACCCCCCATCAACCCTCAGTTTGCTCTCAGTTCTCAACAGTCTCTTATGCTTTGGCTCTCTCCCACTCTAACCTCTTTTTTTTTTTTTTTTTCCTTCCCCTCCCCCATGGGTTCCTGTTAAGTTTCTCAGGATCCTTTAAATGGTATTTTTTTTTTAACTTCAAAATCTCAGTGCTGGTAGATAGAAAAGGACTTAAATTTTGAATGTTAACCTTGCGTCTTGTGATCTTGATGTGCTGACTTATTACTTCAGAGATTTTTTTGGTCTTTTCTTTGGAATTATATAGATACCTAATCATGTCATTCATAAATAAAGATGGTTTTATTTCTCCTTTTCCAATCTCTATGCCTTTTATAGCTTTTCTTATTGCACTAACTAGAACATTCAGGCTGATGTAGGATGGAAGTGGTGAGAGAGGACATCCTTGCCTATTTCTGAGCCTTAGGGGAAAAGTTTTGCTTACTCTCTCACCATGAAGTTTGCTCTCACCTGTAGGTAGGGCTTTTGTGTATATTCATTATTATGTTAAGGAGGTTTCCCTCTTTTCCTAGTTTGTTGACATTTTAACATGAATAGGTGTTGAATATTAAATGCTTTTTCTGTATCAATTGATGTGATCATATGATTTTTCTTCTTTAGCCTATTAATGTGAGGGGTTACGTCTTTGAATGATGAACCAGCCTTGCATACCTGGTATAATTCCAGTAATAAAGAGAATTGATCTGTCCATATTTTGTTAGGGATTTTTGCATCTATATTCATGACAGACATTGCTCAGTAATTTTTGTTTCTTATAATGTCTTTTGTCTTTATCTGGTTGGGTGTTATTGTAATAATCGCCTACTGAATGTTAGGAAGTGCTTCCTCTGATATAATTTTCTGGAAGAGATTATGAAATGTGGTATTATCTCTTAAGTACTGATAGACTTCAACAGTGAAACTATCTGGGCCTGGTGTTCTCCTTTTGGGAAGGGTATTTATTATTGATCCAATATCTTTAATACTAATAGAACTATTTAGGTTATCTGCTTCTCCCTGTGTCCGCTTCGGTAGATTGTATCTTTCAAGGAGTTAGTCCCTTTCACTAAACTAGCAGATTTGTAGGCATAGGATTGTTGGCAGTATTCCTTCATTGTCCTTTTAATGTCTAGGAGATCTATAGTGATGGATCCTCTTTTGTTTCTGATACTGGAAGTTTGCATCTGCTCTATTTTTTTCTTGGTTAGTCTGGCTACAGGTTTATTAATTGTATTTATCAACTCAGAGGACCAGCTTTTGCTTTTGTTGATTTTCCCTATTTTTGTGGAATGCCTTGAAACATTTTATTGAAAGCCAGATGTGTTGTATAAGGCACTAGGAACACTTTTATGGCTTCAGCAGCTCCTGCTCCAGATAAGCAGATTTCAACTGTGACTCTCTATATAGCTATGTCTCTATAAATTTGGGGATGTTAGTTTGCCCTACAACCTCAGTTTTCTGATTGGTCCCAGAAAAGTTATTGTTCTTCAGTTCATGAAGCTTTTTCTTGTTTAAGGACAGGAATGATGACATCCAAGCTTTTGTCATGTTGAAGCTGAAACAGGAAATGGCATATTTTTAAATGGAAGGTAAAAACTCTCAGAAAGTTTGTTCTATAATATCTTAGATTATTTCTAAAATGGTACTATTCGTTTATTCCAAGCTCCATTCACAATATTTATTCATAGTGTCCAAATCCTTCCTTTGTTGACGTATACCTGTGTAGATAAGGGAGATTGATGACTAGAAAGGTCTGACTACATAAATGCCTGGTTCATTGTAGGAAATCAATCATTTAATTATTATTAATGGTATTATTTTGCATTATTAACAAAAGACTAGCACCAAAATAAATATCTGTGAAAGAAAAAGAATTGATAAATTGAATGTATTACAATTCAAAACTAATGCTTTGCAAATGATGCTATGAAAATAATGAAAAAAATAAGCCACAGACTAGTAGAAAATATTTGTAAAACATTCATCTGATAAAGAACCTGTATCCAAAATATATAAAGAACTTCTAATATTCAACATTAAGAAAACATACCCCAATTAAAAATGGGCAAAAGATCTGTCAGACACCTCAACAAAGATCTAAAGATGGCAAACAAACATATTAAAAGATGCTCAACATTATACATCATTAGGAAATTGTAAATGAGAACACATATAACTACATACCTATTAAGATAGCTAAAATCCAAAACACACCACCAGATGTGAGGATGTGGAGTAGCAAGAACTCTTCTTCACTGATGGTGTGAGTCCATAATGGTACAGCTGCTTTGCCAGACAGTTTGGTAGTTTCCTATTAAGCTAGCCATAATCTTACCATATGATCTAGCATCTCACTCCGAAACATTTACCCAAGTAAGCTGAAAACTTACCTATATGCAATAACCTGCACATAAGTGTTTACAGCAGTTTTAATCACCATTGCCAAAAACGGAAAGTAACTAAGATATTTTTTAATAGGTGATTGTATAAACAGATTGGTACAGCCACACAGTGGAATATTACTCAGTGATAAAAAGAAATGAACCATCAGGTCAACACACACACACACACACACACACACACGCGCGCGCGCGCTCGAAGCAACTTTCAATGAGTATTACTAAGTGAAAGAAGCAAATTTGAAAAGGTTACATACTGTATGATTCCAACTATATGACATTCTGGGAATGGCAAAACTATGAAGATAGTAAAAAGATTAGTGGTTTCCAGGGGTTAGTAGGGACGGAGGGATGAATAGATGCGGCACAAAGAATGTTTTGGGCAGTGAAACTTTTCTGTATGATATTGTAATGATGGATACATGACATTATATAAAAGGGCTAATTCAGCGAGAGGGATGTAACAAAAAAAAAAATCAGCTTAATTGCCACATGCCTATGAGGGATCATCTGACTCACACTTGTAATATAAACTTGTACCTTACTCAACAAGGACCTTGGTTTTTTTTATCAAAAAATGTATTCACAACACATATGTCTGGTTTTCCTGACAACAGAGTCAAACAGAACAAAAAGCATCAAACTACCATTTGTGTGGCATTTTTAGTTTATAAATTTTGTCTCATTTGCTACACATCACTAATATGTATTTAAAGACAGAATGAAGTATTATTTTGGCTTTTCCTAAAGAAAAAAAATTAAAATCAGTGATGTATCCAATAGCACACTTCTGCTACATGACAGAAAAAAAGAGAAAACTTTTAGAGTAACTGCTCAAAGTGAAACTCTTAAGATTGGCCATGAAATGGCAAAGACTTGGATCGTGTTATTAGATCAGGTACTTGGAATTTCTTGACCACATTCACTGGTGTTAGCATAATTAAAGTAAGTGATTCAGGGCCCTGGACAACTGTCTAAGTGGAAACTCGGTGTCTGTAAAACATCAGATAAATAAGACAGTATTTCTGCATCGAATATAAAAGTTGGCTCATTGGTATTGTGACGAGATGGCGAACTAGTTGTCCACAGCTTGGTTGTATGCACATGTCCTTTCACTCCTGGTTGTAGTGATGAAGCCTCCTCCACATTCCTTCCCTTTAATCTTAAACAGAGTCAAGTGTGGTGGCCAAGTGGCAAGGCTTGGTCTTGTAATCTTAAACAGAATCCAGAGGTCACAGTAATTAGTAACGGGGTACATCCCTGGTGATTCATGCCTCTGAGCTAGAGAGAACATTTAATTCAAGTGTTGCTTTTTACAGCTCTGAATTCGATGTCAAGTAGAAGCTTCACTCAGCTGGCTAGCATCTTGGGGAATATTCTAATTTTCTGCAAGCGATTTTTTTCTTTTTTTTTAATCTCCTGATATATTATTTAACAAATTTCTGCTATGATAAGCAGATGATTTATAATCTCTAGATATATATTTTTCAAGGGCTAAGAATGTGCACTTCTCTTCTAGCAGGCACAGAAATAGACCAGCCGGCCTACTTCTACCATCATTTCAGGCTTTCCTGGTCTTTTCTAGATGATTCTGAACACCCAAACATATACTACAAATGCATGAAGTTTTTAAACCAGAGACAATGTCAGAAGAAAAGCATTCCTCCCTCTCCCCCTTAACCTCTTGTATTGGGTTGGTGCAATACATTTTTGTGTCAGGAATTTCCCTCTGATTCTCTCTGGCCATAAAGTGAGAATATTTCCTTGCAATGACAATCAGATTCCAGAGAAATACCCAGTGGGGTGTTGTGCTGTCCAAAGCAAGGAGGATCCTGGCCTGAGCCAAGGCCAGGGGTCATTTAAGAGCAATTTTTAAAAATTTTTTTAAGTTTTTTATTTATTTTTGAGAGAGAGAGAAAGAGAGCTCAAGCAGGGTAGGGGCAGAGAGAGAGGCAGACACAGAATCCAAAGCAGGCTCCAGGCTCTGAGCTGTCCGCACAGAGTCTGATGCAGGACTCGAACTCACAAACCAGGAGATCATCACCTGAGCCAAAGTCAGACACTTAACTGACTGAGCCACCAAGGCTCTCCAAGAGCAAATTTCTTATAATGTAATTGGTGGTCCATAAAATTTAGTAAGATTACTGGAATTATGTAATTTTGAATGTAAAGTGACAATGCAGCTGAAGGTCAAAGTTCTAGCTCTAGAGTTCTCTTTTTAAACATTTTTTTTTTCAACATTTATTTATTTTTGGGACAGAGAGAGACAGAGCATGAACAGGGGAGGGGCAGAGAGAGAGGCAGACACAGAATCGGAAACAGGCTCCAGGCTCTGAGCCATCAGCCCAGAGCCCGACGCGGGGCTCGAACTCACGGACCGCGAGATCGTGACCTGGCTGAAGTCGGACGCTTAACCGACTGCGCCACCCAGGCGCCCCTAGAGTTCTCTTTTTAAAAGAATGAAAAGAAAAGGTAGAAATTCGATTTCATAACAATTTTTCCAAAATTGGTGACTCAGAATGAACTTTTGCATTTTATCCTTCAGCCTTAACATAAGATTCTGTTGTCTTTTGTTGAAATTATTGGATAGATATCCTATTCTGAGCATGTTTGTGAGTGCATGAGGCCTCTAAGGCATCTGTTGTTTTCAGCTAGTATGAATTTTCTCCTTTTTTTCCCTAGCTCTAAATGTTTAAACTTTCTGTTGCCAAGGTTATTTTTTCTTGGCTTTTGCTGCTACTTGATTCCCTTTTTCATAAGTATCTTTATGGCTTCTCATACTTTCCACCCATGTATATCTCTTTTCTGTCAGTGCTCATTTTCTGTTCTTTGAGTAGTTGTACCTTGTTAGGAGTCTTTTCCAGGATCAGTTTCTAAGACAAGCAATTTATTTACATGAGTAATCATCATTTTTAATCCCTCCTACACACATGGAGGTATTTGAAGATGCTGCTGTAGGGAGCTCCTGGGTGGGTTAGTAGGTTGAGCATCTGACTTCGGCTCAGGTCATGATGTGGTTCGTGGGTTTGAGCCCCGCCTCTGGCTGTCTGCTGTCAGTGCAGAGCCCTCTTCGGATCCTCTGTCCACCTCTCTCTCTCTGCCCTTCTCCTGCTCACTCTCTGTCTCTCTCAAAAATAAATAAACATTAAAAAAAAAAAGTCTCCAGTGGTTTAAAAAAAAAGATGCTGATGTAGGCAATTTATCTGTCTGAAAGTAGCTTAAAATTCTACCCTAAGTGAAAGTACCTTGGTAGAGGCTAGCCAGAGCTAGCTTTAGCCAGAGCAAGCTATCACTGTAAGGTTTCCAGGAGCTAAAGAAATGACACTGTGCCCCCAAATATTTCTTACATAAATATATTTCTGCCATAGATTATTTATCATACTTCAGACATGTCAGTGTCTAAATTCTTGTTACAACATGGTCATTCTCTTTTTATGAGGCATTTTATATTTAAAATGGATTTGTGTAAAGCGAGAAAAATCCCCTGGGATATCATCATGTCTTCATTTCCACTGCAGGGGAGTTTTTATCTCATAGTTTGATCAGTGATATTTACCGCCTGAAGGGTTAATTTCATCCCAGCTCCTGAGCCAACCTAAAGGAAGCAGTATGAATTATTGCAAACTTCACCATGTAAATCATCCTCAAAATACAGCACAGAGGTAAAAACAGAAGCTCTGGGGCCGGGGTGCATGGGTTTCAAATCTCAGAATTGTACTAACTGTATGACCATGAGCAAGCTGTTCAACCTCTCTTGGCCTGTTCCTTATCTGAAAGTGAGGGAGGAACTAATATACACGCTTCAAAGGCTTTTCCTGGAATTGAAGGAGTTGGTAAGTGTAAAGTCCTTACAGTAATGCCTAATACAAAATAAGCAGTATCTTAGTTATTATTGCCTACTCATGTGGTCAGTACTAGTAAGCCACTTTATTGCTCTTTCATTTCATTAATCTAATTAATTTATTTTTATTTAGATTCAAGTTAGTTAACATATAGTGTAGTATTGGTTTCAGGAGTAGAATTCGTGATTCATCACTTACATATGGCACCCAGTGCTCATCCCAACAAGTGCTCTCTTTAATGCCCATCAACCATTTAGCCCATCCCTCCACTCAATACCCCTCCAGTAGCCCTCAGTTTTTTTCTCTGTATTTAAGAGTCTCTCATGGTTTGCCTCTGTTTTTATTTTATGTTTTCTTCCCTTTTCCTATCTTCATCTGTCTTGTTTCTTAAATTCCACACAGCAGTGAAATCGTATTTGTCTATCTCTGACTGATTTCACTTAGCATAATACACTTTTTATGGCCTGAACACAGTCCCATCGTGCGGTAAGTGTCGAGTTAGTTTTCTTCAGTTCGCTCACCATAAATCTGTCACTTTGGCCCTGTTTTAGGTTGCTCCATAAGATGAGAATGTTACCTTTGTGTGTGCTTTATAATTTATCCTAATAGTCTCCCTAGTACCCCAGACCCTCAGAAAAGCCATGTCACTTAGATGATTCCTGGTAGTTTTCTTAATGAAAAGACACTGCCTTCCTTCAGATATCCTGATACTAGCTTATTATATGTGCAGTCAGTTTGCAGCCTGGTAAATTTTTATAACCAATTCTCTGCTTTGGCTTTGGATTATTTTGCCAACTTCTTAATGTTTTTCTTTCCTGGCTTATTCTGAGCATTCTTATTCCTAAATCATAATGCAAGGGATATAGTAATAATCCTTGACTACCACATGCATTTATATTAAGGTATTTAAAAAGTCATGATGATTTAAGCAGCAAATAACAGAAAAGTCAGGTTTCTTAACTAAATCAGAATATATTCCCTTATATACAAGAGATATCAAAGCATTTCCAGGTTTGACTAATTCATTCGATCAACAATGTGAAAGACTCAGGTTCTTTCTTTTTATTCTGTCACTCCCAATGTGCTTTTTACAGATTAGCACCATTTCTGAAGAAGATATCTAGTGGAAGAAAATGAATTTTTTAGTATGCTAACGTTTAATTCCTTTTCCAGAACTTCCCAGAAAATACTGCCCCATATTGTATGGGCATAATTAAGTCATGTCTCAACAGTGCTTGTTCTTAAACCAAGTCAGAGAATGGAAAAAACTTCAATTAAATTGGACAGAAAAAGAATTTACTCTGAATATGGAGTAGACGGTTGGAGAAATGGACAAAATTTGTTGTTTAAAGCAATTTTTTTGACTTCTTACCTGTGTTATGGCTCAGGAATTCTGGGTCAGTTGGACACTTTTGGCTCAGAAAATATCATGTGATTATAGTCAAGACAAAGGTTGGACCTGGAACAGCAAATGAACAAATTCACTGGAAGTATTTGTCTCTCTCTCTCTTCATGTAACTTCAGGGCACTACCCTGTAGTTTCTCTATATGGCTACTTTGGGCTTCTTCTAGACAACTAGACTATTCACATTGAAGCCTATGGCCCCAAAGATGAGGATTTCAGCCAACAAGATGGATGCCGCACCCTTTTAAGGCCAGCCTTTAAATTAATAGAGCATAATTTCTGCCACTCTCCTGGAAACGCATGAGTCACAAGACTGCTCAGAATTAAGGAGGGGAGGGGAGGGGAGGGAGGGGAATTAACCTCCACCTCTTGACAGGAAAGTGGCAAGGTTCTAGAAAACATATGAGATGAGAAATGCTATGTAGCCATCTTTGGAAAATACCATCTGCCACAGACAAAATAAAAAAAGAGCTCCCTGTTGGGTAATTTGCCACAGAAATTGTTCTCTTGTTCTGTGTGAATGAAAAGTAGGGTAGATGAGTTTGGGGAAAAAATTCAGGATCAGAAAATATCTTGGTACGTACGCCATTCATAACAAGGGTCCCTGAGCAGGTCATAAGCCCCTGGGTTGAAAGACATTATGCATATCTGTTGGGGGAGAGAGAAGAGAAGAGGAAGTGATAGAGAAGAAGTTTTCAGAAATGGAAATGGAAGCTATAAAGATGCCAAATAACTTTTTTTCTCTGTAGTGTTGCCAGTGGTTAGCCCTTCTTGAGCCATTTTTAGTGCTTGTCAAATGTTTACGACCCTGCCTCTGGAGTGCCACAGATTCAACTAGCCTCTTACTCCGTCTGTGCTCAAGAGCTTTGTCCATTAGAGCTTCTTTCCAGCATTTATAGCTATGGAACACTGCCTGAAACTGTGTTGTTGTGTGCCTTTAGAGAGTTTCTTCCTGATGTTCTGACAGTGGTGCTCCTCAGCTCTGCGTACCATTTAAATTTTTTTTTTTTTTTAATTTATTTTTGGGACAGAGAGAGACAAAGCATGAACGGGGGAGGGTCAGAGAGAGAGGGAGACACAGAATCGGAAACAGGCTCCAGGCTCCGAGCCATCAGCCCAGAGCCTGACGCGGGACTCGAACTCACGGACCGCGAGATCGTGACCTGGCTGAAGTCGGACGCTTAACCGACTGCGCCACCCAGGCGCCCCCATTTAAATTTTTTTTAATGTTTATTTATTTTTGAGAGAGAGACAGAGTGTGAGGAGGGAAGGGGCTGAGAGAGAGGGAGACACAGAATCCAAAGCGGACTCCAGGCTCTGAGCTGTCAACACAGAGCCGGATGCAGGGCTCGAACTCATGAACCATGAGATCATGCCCTGAGCCGAAGTCAAATGCTTAAGTGCATGAGCTATCCAGGTGCCCCTCTGTGTACCATTTTAAAAGTTAGTTAACAGAGTTAAAGATGAGATGCGGCTTGGTGAGTGACTGAGAGGAGTTTGTGGTCATATTGTAAAGGACTTATATATCATCCTTTTCTGGCCAAGATTTAAAACAAGTGTTCATGTAGGGAGTGCCATGCGCAGGTCTGTGAAAAGGATAAACCAGAGAGTAAGAATTATTGCAAGAAGGCTCAGTTCAGTGACTTAAAATAATTGAGAGAATTTGGAAAGGAAATCTGAACTGATAGAGCAATGGAGGAAGGGGAGGAATTTCATAATTAACACAGGCATATTCAGTGAGCGCTTTGTAGCCAGATGATATGGGGTTGCAGTAAAGCATAGCAAGAATGTGTGAGTTTTCAACTTTAGGCACTTCCATTAATAATAATGCCACTGCTTTCATTGAAAGACACAGGGAACATGAGAGACTTTATAGATGAATTTTACATGGCCTTTTAAATTTTGCTTAGTTGGGAATGTCCACTGGTATTAATAAAATCTGTAGAAGCAGATAGTATCAAACACAAAAGCCTGTCTAGTGGGTTAAGGGTCAAAGATAGAACCATGGGATTTACCCACAGTTAGGGATAGAGCAGGAGAAAATCCAGAGGAGAATAATTACAATGAGCTGAAGAGGGAAAATGGAATAAGGTATTATAGTACAGAGAGAAAAACATGATCAATATTATTAAGTTATGGAGTAGTGAAGTTAAATAGAAAGCAGTCACTGGATTTATTACAAGTGCCTTTTCTCTCTTATTAAAATTAAAAATCAGATCAAAGTGAGTTTAATAGCAAAATAGGAAAAAAAAACTAGTAGTTTTTGTAGAGTCTCTAAAAAAGTTTTTGTAAAAGGGAGAAAGTGAGAGCACTTGCTCATAAGGAATGTAGCATTGATAGCGTATGTGGGACTGTATATTTTGAGGACATATTTATAAATTGAAGATAAGAATGATAGTGTTAGAGTGGGTGGAAAAGGTGAACTTGAACTGAAGAAGGGACGGTTCCTTCTTAGAAGAGGAACTGGAAGTGACAAAGATTGTTGGGGGCAGAAGACAGATGAACTGTAAATCGTTGAGTAAGTATGATTGACACGGAAGTGTTTAGGCAATTTGAAGGGAATGTAACATATCCAGTGGGTGAGATAGAATTCAAACAAAAACTAAGGCTCACATGACCATTCAAAGCCTGGAGTTGGATTGAAAAAAAACCAGAACTTAGTGACTGAAAGTAATGAAAAGAAACCACTATTTCCTGGCATCTCTCAAGTAATGTCAAAGGGTAAAAAATATTCTCATTGCTCTGAAAATCTTTAAAATGTTTTCTACTTCTGTCATTATCAGTATCCTTCCCTAGAATTATGACTGATTGTTTCAAAATCTCCCTCCCCCATGATAACTCTGAAGCCACACTTCTTTTTATTTAAGCTGCTCTACTTCCTATTTTCTTTTGAGTACACAACACCCTTTCTTATGATACTCAATGTGTTGATCAGTCTCTCCTCTTGTCCTAAATTCATGGCGCTCTGTTTTGGTGCACCTCTATTTGTTACCTTAAAACTGCATCACAAAAGCCTAAAGAAATACCTATGCAGGGGCGCCTGGGTGGCTCAGTGGGTTAAACGTCCGACTTCAGCTCGGGTCAGGATCTCGCGGTCCGTGAGTTCGAGCCCCGCGTCGGGTTCTGGGCTGATGGCTCGGAGCCTGGAGCCTGCTTCCGATTCTGTGTCTCCCTCTCTCTCTGCCCCTCCCCCGTTCATGCTCTGTCTCTCTCTGTCTCAAAAATAAATAAAACGTTAAAAAAAAATTAAAAAAAAAGAAATACCTATGCAAAGGCGATATTCACTAGATATGGGTGGGGATGGAGAAGCTCAATGGGAAAAAGTAAACAAACAAAAAAACAAAAAACATGCAATCTTCCTGGACATACAGGAAGGAAGAAGACTCAAAATACTCAAATGTACGTGTTTTTCCCTTGTCACAGATGGGAAAGGAAGCCAACATGGCAAATAATCTGTTTATAATTTTCTGCTATATTTCCTAAAATATTAATGGTTCTTCAAGGGTAATTCAAAGATGATATTGTTCATAAAGTGAGTGTATACATTCCAAGAATCAATTACTAAAGCATTATATCTTATTAAATTCTCATATATGGCCTCATAAGTCCTACTACTTACCATAAGTACATGTGGATGGTAGAATTGTTAACCTCATGAAAGTGGTTGTAAAATTCAATTATTCCCCATAGTAAGAGTAGTTTCTTTTTTAAAAATTTTTTTTAAACATTTATTATTGAGAGACAGACACAGAGTGTAAGCAGGGGAGGGGCAGAGAGACGGGGAGACACAGAATCTGAAGCAGGCTCTGGGCTCTGAGCTGTCAGCACAGAGCCCGACATGGGGCTCGAACTCACAAACTGCGAGATCATGACCTGAGCTAAAGTCGGTCTCCCAACCAACTGAGCCACCCAGGCAGCCCAAGAAAAATAGCTTCTTAAATGTGATATATGCCAGACTCTCTAAGCATTTATTCTTCATAGCAACCCTAGATAGTATGTATGACTTTTATTACTTTTTCAAGTGAGAATACAAAAGCATAAAGGTAAATGAGAAAAATCAAAGACCAAGTAGAATCGTTGTGAACTGAATATGCAGGAGTGTGGTAGGCAGAATAATGCTCCTTCCCAAAGATGACTATGCCTCACTCCCCAGAACCTGTATATATGTCATCTATCATGTTAAAAGGGACTTGAACATGTGATTAAGTGTCTTGAGATGAGGAGATTATCCTGGAGTTTCCAGATGAGCTCAGTGTAGTCATAAGAGTCCTTATAAGAGAGAGACAGGAGAGTCAGAGTCACAGACGGAGATGTGATTATTGAAGCAGAAGCTAGAGCAATGCGACCACAAGCCAAGAAATATGGGCCATCCCTGGAAGCTAGAAAGGGCAACGCATGGATTCTCCCCTGAAGTCTCTAGAAGGAATAAAGCTCCGCTAAAGACACCTTGATTCTAGTCCTTAGATGTCTTTGACATATCTGACCTCTAGAACTGTAAAATAAAAAATTTGTGTTGTTTGAAGTCATGCATTTCTTAGTAATTTGCTATAGCAGCAATAAGAAACTAATACAAGTAAGAATGGTGACAAGAGTGAAGTCTTTGAGTATCTGTGAGGGAATGGGCACCACACCAAAGGGACTGGCTTTTTTATGTCTTTGTTTCTTTGAGGAATGGCTTTTCTTATCTTTAGTCCCATCAATTATGAATATATATATATATATATATATATATCCCTCATTAATTATAAATGTGTATATATATACACACATATATATATACACACATAATAGGAGCCCAAAAATATTTAATATTTCGTAGATTACAAAGGCTTAAAAATGTTCCCCAAATAATAGGCCATCTCTCTCCATACTGTGAAAAGCTATGTAATCTTCTAAGACATGACATGGACTTCTATATTCACATTAATTTATTCACCTATCCCTTTAAAACCCTGCTTCTACCAACACGATCTTCAAAAAGATTAAAGGAATATTTGGGAAAATGGGGTAGAGAGAGGCAAATAAGTAGCACAAATGAGAGAAGTGCACCATCCACATGCCAGAGATACCAAGTAAATTCTGAAACTTACGGTGGGGAGAATAGCAGATGGAAGGGAAGGCCAGCCAATCTGCAACTGGTCTTATGTGCAGGAAGACTATCTCTGGTCAGCGTGTGGAACAGTCACCAGGAGAAATCACTAGTTCTTGTATTTCTGGAGCAAAGTAGGGTAGAGGTGCAGATAGAGATCCTGCTGATGCTTCCTGACTATGCAATGACCATCTAGAAAAGGAATCGACAGATGGTCCTGTTATACCAGAGGAAAGACCAGATTTATGGCCCCCTTATAACTAGTATGCCAGCTAAATCATGGTGACCCTTGTTTAGTGATGGTATAATAACAAGTAAAGATAACTTTGAGCATGATAATGGTCTCCAAGGACCCTTGGAGCAGCCACTAAGGACACCTTACCCTTATTTCCTTTTTCTGTTGCTTGATGCCTGGATGGTTGAAGTAAGTCTACAACATGCATAGGCATTCTTGTCTTCTCTCTCTAGGTATGAAAAAGTATTCATTATATGTTTGTACAGGCACACAGGTTGTAACATTTTTTTCTCTTTCCATATTTCTCCATGAGCAGTGTGGATGACTTTTGTAAAGTATAAAACGTATGATAGTATGTCTGTGCTGAAAGCAATTAAAGGCTTCTTACTGCCCTCAAGATAAACTGCTTAAGAAGGAGCCCTCCTCATCTGGATTCTGCCTACTTCCCCAACATCAAAAGCCCCCTAACACATTATGCCCTAGTAACATGGAGAAACATTTTTCCTCCTAAAGTTCAATGTTTTCTGACCTGAGGGCCTTTGTGCATATAGTACATGCCTCTCCCATTTCCTAGGTCTCCTGCCTCAAATTTAGTGTGGCTGATTTGGACATGTTTCAAGTCTCAGCTGAGAAGTCACTTCCTCCTGAGGTCTTCCCAACCCACCACAAAGGAAAAAGTGGTTGTGTCTCCTGTATGTCCCGCAGCTCTCCTCACTATCCCATCATTGTACTCTATTCCATAGTTTAGAAGTGCAGAAAAATAGGAGTGCAAAAAATTCTTCTCTGGAAGAGCATTATTTGGGGGCAAACAGATGCACTGATAAGCTCTGTAGAGTGATTCCTAGGAAATTAAAATCATCACTAAGCTGTTATATGGAGGCCTATCAAAAATTCTTCTTTGGAAGAGCATTATTTGGGGGCAAACAGATACACTGATTAGCTCTGTAGAGTGATTCCTAGGAAATTAAAATCATCACTAACCTGTTATATGGAAGTCTATCAGGGAAATTCGTTTCACAGAAGGAGAAGAGAGGAAAATGTACATAATAAGGAAAAGAGGAGAGCTAAAGAGGAATAAAATTCAATGACCTCAACTGTCATGTATTTATGTAGCTGTGCCTTAATATATACCAGCATGTATATGATAATTGTATCTGGAGGAAGTCGTTACTGGTCATTTATATTCTCTTTTTTCTTTTTTTACATTATTTAAAGATTCCTAAAATAAGTATTTTTACTTTTGAAATAAAAGATTATTGACTTATTCATTCAGCATATGTATGTTGGACATTTACTAAGGGCACTTTTCAAAGCACTGAGAATAAAACCATGAACAAGACAGAGAAAGTCCCTGTTTTCAAGGAGCTTGCATTCTAGAAGAAGGTGTAGGAAAAATAAACTAAAAATAAGGCCATCAGCTAGTGAGAAGTACTAGCTGATATACTAAACATTGAGTCAGGGTCAGGAAAGGCCCTTTTCAATGACAGGGAATTGTCCAGGTGAAGATATGGAAGGCAGTGGAAGCTGCTAATGCAAAGTCTTGACAGTGGAAAAGTCTTTGAAATGTTACAGAAATAGAACAAAGACCAGTGTGAAGTGTGATGACTGAGGAAGACAGGTGTTTAAGATGGGAAGGATAGTTAATGCAGGGCCCCAATTATGTAAGACCTTAGAGTCCAGGATGATGAATCTAGATTTTATTCTCCAAGGTACTGATAGCAAATTTATTATAAGCATATCCTAATTTTACTAAGTATTCTTCTGAAATACAATTTTAATGGCTTCACATTATTCTGTCGTATGGATGTGCTGAGATTCAATGAATCATTCCCTTATTATTGGACATTTAGGTTATAAGACTTGGCCAACATCCAACTTGAATCAATTAGCGAAACAGAATGGATCCACCTCTTTACTGCTTCAATCAAATGCCAGTTAGTAGCAATTAGTATTTACTGAAGATGATATATGACACTGGAAATTATAATCAGGTAAGAAATGTACATTATTTTTCCCTGATATGACTTATTTTGACATGTGTGGCAAAAGAGTAGATGCTTAAATTAATATCATGGCGTGCTTTCAGTGATCTCTGGAGAGCTCTTACAAATCTAATAAGTGGATAGGATTGCATAAAAAGTGGCAATTTTAAAAGGTTTTTATTTGAAATAAATAGAATATTCATATCATAAAAGACATTTAAAAGGTATAAAAGTAAACATAGCATATACATTTTTTAAAAGAATAGAGAATATTTTTATAGTGGGACCAACCAGCCTTTTAAAGGAGGAATAATGTTACTATGGCATGTGTCCACTGTGGTCAGGGACCCTGTCCTACCTTCCCTGTCTAGAGTTCTAAGTTTGGAACTGCATCTGCAGTATTTGCCTATTTAGTGCCATTACCCCTTGATAATTGGGTGAAGCCTATGGATCCCTTCTCAGAATACTGATTTTAGCTGAAGAAAATTAAATGCACAGGACTATAAAGGAAACCGTAGCCCATGAACTCAGATGAAGGCCTGGATTATCAGCTCTCCATGGGCCAATTTCTAGGTTTTAGTGCAAGACCTCTCTGACCCTTGGCTCAGGTGCAGTGTAAACAAAATAGAGTGTGTTTATAACAATTCTGTGTGCATGCACATGCTTGTAAAATTTAGTCTCTCAGGCTACAAGAGCCTGGATATAAAGTCAGTGGACAAGCAAATTAAAAAAAAAAAATTCCTGGGGTGCCTGGGTGGCTCAGTTGGTTGAGCGGCTGACTTTGGCTCAGGTCACGATCTCACGGTTGATGAGTTTGAGCCCCATTGCACTGACATCAGGGAGCCTGCTTTGGATTCTCTGCCTCCCTCTCTCTCTGCCCCTCCCCCACTCTCTCTCTCTCTCAAAAATAAACACTAAAATTTTGTTTTTTAATTCCTTATTTGATATCTGGGCCCCAGGAATGCCAGCCCTATACAGTGACTCCTTTGCTTTGGTTCAGTGGTTAATGATATAGGGCAGAGAAAGTCCCTATATTTTCTTACAGGCTATCATCTTCTGGATCCTGTATGACTTGGGAGGTAGTACTCAATGGACTGTCATGTCAGCCATCCAAGGATGCTGCTGGTTATGAAGACAGCTAATTTCCATTTTGGTCACTGTAGATGCTGAATTCCTACAGCAGCACTTGCTTAACTGGCCCTGTGGCTAGCCGCCCCTGAGTCCTGCTGGGATGGAGCCTCTAGCATGGTTCACACACCATTCCTTAGACAGAAGTATTGTGTCCTTGCCCCCATTTCCATTCTTCTTAAAATATTACCCTACTTAGACCTAGATCCCAACTCCGGAACTATCTTGCCATAGACGTGAGCCTTTCCATTTGTTTGCTTCATTTTGTTTTCTGGAGTTTTGTTGTTCTAGCACCTTCTCAGACTAGTAAGCAATGTCTTCTATTCTACCCGACTTTCCATAGAACTCCACAGTCTCTCCCAGTAACCAATTTTTATTCCTACATCCTATGGTTATTGGTTGGCTTTCTTTTTCTTTCAAAATTAAAGCAGCAAACTGATTCAAACTAATTTTTAGATTCAAAACTCATTTTTGTGTCCATGTAGTTTGAGTTCTATAATTTTCCTTGCAACTTTACTGCACATAATATGATGACCTTCTGCTTTATATGCCAGTCTGCCCGCAACCTCATTTCTACTATACTTATGTGTATATGCATGTTAATGAGTAGAGAGATGCCTGTTGGTATCTTTTTGTGAGCATCTGCTATGGAGTTTAAACACTGGAAGAAATAAGAGTGTTTTTTAAGAACTTTTCCTTTGTTGCTATATGGAAGATTAGAAGGAAGATATGCACATCTTTTTCTAGCTAATTATCTCTCTCCGAGAGTGCCTCTGGGCATGTACATGGGAACCGTGTATAAGTGTGCTTTATAATCATTCTTATTGGGAAGTGGGTGAGAGAGAAAACTAATGGAGGAACAAAGATTTGGATATAGAATAATACAGAGAAAGCAGCAAGGTCATGGAGTCAGATGGTCCTGAGATCTCCTCCTCCATCGGCTACCTGCTGCGTGACCTCAGACAGTTACTCAGGGTTTCAATTTTCTCATCTGTAAACAAAGAAAACTTATGATTTTTTAAAATAAAAAACAAATGAAGACTAGCCTTGAAAATTCCCTGAACACACAAAACCAGTTGAATCATACAAACAAAGCTTAATTTAGCTTATTTTGCAAGACTAACTTGACCTGGGTCAGTTCTTGCTTATGCCTCTGAAAATCACAAGCAAAACTTAAACTTTCCCAAGGTTCATGTGAGATAACAACTGACCAATTTCCTATTATTCAAGAGAATTCTAATATTACAACCAATCACCGTGAGGAATAAACCATGCTTTCTCACTATATAAGGTGCTTTATAACAATATACACCTGAGCCTCATTCCATGTTTTGGTTTGAGTGTCCCCAGTTTGCAAACTGCCTTCTTCTGTATGTCCATAATACATTTTTACTAATTAGTATTTCAGTGATTCATTGGTTTTCCTTGGCTATTTCTAAACCTTAGATTATTTGAGGATTAAATGCCTGGAGCAGTGTAGGGGATCAATATATGTGATCAATAAATTTCCTTTCCTTACCTCAGTCAGCAAGGGTTGCTTCTAAGACCTTTAATGCTTAGCAATCAAACTTAAAGGTCCAAGAAATATCAACTTTTATTGAATATTTTATATCTAGGACATGCTTGTCTCAGTTCTTTACTATCTATAGGAATCTATGGGACAGGTATTTTTTTTAAGTTTATTCATTTATTTTGAGAGAGCAGGGACAGACAGATAAAGAGTATGGCAGAAGCAGCAGAAAGGGAGAATACCACACAGGCCCCATGCTGTCAGTGAAGAGCCCAATGCAGGGCTCAAACCCACAAACCATGAGATCGTGACCTGAGCCAAAATCAAGACTCAGACG